ATTTTTTTTTTTTTGATATTTTTAATTTCTTTTAAGTACCTTGTCCTATTTTGTTCGCTAAAACGTCAATTTATGAATTGAAGGAACGGCAAATTCTCGCGTTTTCATAACTCATAACTGTCGATACTATTTTCTTTAAAAGTCATGTCAAACTCGCATCTATGACAAAAAATTTCTGTATTTAAGACAATTATTGTGTCAGTACATAGATAGATCTGTGTTTAGAAGAATTATTGTATTAAAAAAAACGTATATATCAGATTAAATAAACAAGATCAAGACTTAACGCACCTGACAAAGACCTAGACCGAGACTGTAAAAGCAATACCAAGACCTAGTATTTGAGCAAGGCGAAGACCAAATAAGTAAGGTCAAGACTAATACCAAGACTAGGACAGTTTTGGTCTTGGTCTTGATCATCACTACCTATTGCAACCGCAGCGAAGGACTTAATACCCTCCTTACTTTCCCGAAGAATGGTTACCCGATGAGGATAATAAAAAAAAATCCTAGACCACAACGGTTATAAAGTCCGACTATCTAGCACTATTATATGTTCGTGACTACAACTGCACTGCCTATAGCCGTTCTGTAGGAACCAATTCAATTCAGAATCTTATCATCATCATCATAAGATCGTCAGTCCTAAGACTGGTTGGACACGCACTTCCACTCTTTCCTATCCTAGAACTAGAACTACCCACATACTTAACTATTTGCGAACAGTAATCTAACCTAGGTCTACCTCTACCCCTCCTAACTCCTGCTTCTGCCTCTAATATGTTCCTGACTAGACCTTCATGCCTGAGAAGGTTTTTTATTGACTTCCATAGAGTCCTCTGTACTTCTATTCTTTCTAATATCTCTTCATTTGTAACCTTCTCTATCCACAGTATCGTCATCATTCGCTTGTAACACCACATTTCGAACGCTTCTAACGTTTTCTTTTCGGCCGCGCCCACTGTCCATGTTTCGCACCCGTACAACGCCGCGCTCCACACATACACCTTTAACAACCTCTTTCGAATTTCAAAATTAATCGTTCGCGAGCATAGAAGTGACTTCTTTTTAATGAAGGCGACTCGACCCTGCGCCATCCTCTGTTTTATGTCCCTACTAGTCCTGAGTTATCTGACGTTCTAGATACTTAAAATCAACCACTTCTTCTAATTTTTGGTCTCCATCTTTATATCCGCTCTTTCCCTACTTGTATATTCTTTGATTTTAAATGGCTAGTGAAACCCCAGAGCATTGGCATAGTAATAGTAACTGTTTTGTTTTTGATTTTATAAATAATAAATTAGAAACGAGATATAATTTTCCTCCAAAAAGCTCTTATATATTATTGAGGAAAGTTCATGTGGAAATGCATTTTTACTAAAAAAGTTATTTTTTTTGTTATTTTATTAAATACCGTCAGATATTTTTATTTTGTAATTTTGAAAAGTTATTTATATTTTATTTTTTTTTGTATGTTGAGCGATTTGCGTTATTTTTGCAACAGTGAGACAAAAAAAGCTGTTTTGTAATGTTTTATTGTTTATTTTTCAAGTCCGTATGGCCAATTGGATTTGAAAAACAACTTGTTCATTTCTTGTTTAAATTTAACTTTCGTCGCATCGTCCACTACCTCACTAATTTAAAGTACGAAATGCCATTGTCATTACTTTTAACTATTTGCTTCGTAAGTAAAAAAATAAGTTTTTTACTGTTTCAATTACATTCTTGTTACGTTATACATATTGTCATTCAGTGGAATTCTTTTAAAAGAAATAATTCACAGGAAGTTGGTGTGTCACTTGACTTTCGAATTTTAGAATTTTATATTATTTATTAAAAGACTAACAATTGTTTCAACTTACACAATCTCCGGAGAGTATAACAGAAATTATTGAAAAATGTAAAATTCCATTTTGTGTTTTTGTGTACAGTATTAAAACAATTGTTGTAATTACCCTAATGCGGACTCAATTACTAGTATTAAAAGTCAAACTTTGTCTTATAGCAAGTGACAAGCAAGCAAGAAGGAAGCTTACTTTGCACTACTGTAATCATTTTACCAAGATAGTATCGGCGGTAATATTTCTTCATATTAATATATATGCCTTAAAGCAGGGATGGCCAATCCCCCTCCTTGGAAATTGTTGCGGCCCGCGAGATTCATTATGCCTTTACAAACTGAAATGATGATGATTATAATGGCCGAAATAATGAAAACCGATATATTAAAAAAATACATTATTTGTGCAATAATATATCCACAACTGATTGCATTTACATGCGGTCCGCGGAGATAACATTTTTTTCCAAAGTGACCCACAGGATCATTTGGGTTGGATACCCATGCTTTAAAAGCTTCGCTGTCAGCGTTATTAAATATTATACTTTTTATTTTGTTTTTATATCCCAGAAATTGTTATGGAATTTTATATACCGGGTGTTCCACCAAATCGAGTTTTGTGTTAATTAATATGTTGCCTCGAAGACCAACGAGTTCCTATTAGTTCAGAAATTATAGGGAAGGAAAGAACGATAAAGTTCGATTTTTTGTTTTTACAATTATCAAAAAGCAATTTTTTTATATGCTTTCGAATGATGTAGTCTTTATTTTACTGTTTCTGTTTGTTACCGAGTAACGCACATGATTTTGAATTCAGCGATGTTTTCTTATTGTTTTAATATATTACATACCATTCTAGCATACTAAAACTTGTTAAAAGTTATTCACCAAAATGTAAAGCGAAAGAAACTACTAGAACCAACAAGCTAGAAATCATTCATCATCATAAGGTCGTCAGTCCTAAGACTGGTTGGACACGTACCTGCACTCTTACCTATCCTGAGCTGAACTTCGCATTTCCCTAAAACTAGAACAACCCACATCTTTAACTATTTGCGAACAGTAATCTAACCTAGGTCTACCTCTACCCCTCCTAACTCCTGCTTCTGCTTCTAATATGTTTCTGACTAGACCTTCTAGCCTGAGAAGATGCCCTACCAACCTATCTGGTTTTATTGATTTCCATAGAGTCATCTGTTCTCCTATTCCTTCTAATACCTTTTCATTTCTAACCTTTTCTACCCACGTTATCCTCATCATTTGTCTATAACACCGCATTTTTTCGCCGCGCTCACTGTCCATGTTTCGCACCCGTACACCTCCGCGCTCCAAACACACCTTTAATAACCTTTTTCGAGTTTCAAAATTAACCGTTCGCGAGCATAGAAGTGACTCCTTTTTATTAAAGGCGACACGACCCTGCGCTATTCTCTGCTTTATATCCCTCCTACTCCTTCCGTCCTCACTTATCTGACTTCCTAGATATCTAAAATCAGCCATTTCTTCTAATTTTTCATCTCCTATCTTTATATTCGCTCTTAGTAGTTTAGTTTTACTTTTATTTATTTTCATACAGTACTGATCTGTTAGTACCGCTTCCATTTTATTTAAAGCTATATCTAGGTCCTCCTTGCTAGATGCTAATACTCCTATATCATCTGCAAATCTAAGCATACTAATCTTTTGCCCCTGTACATCTATCACTACAGCTGTACTGTCTTTAATGATGTTGATCGCGTCTTCGATGTATAGATTAAAATCATTAATGTTTTAATATAGTTCATAACTTAACATTGTATCGCCGGAACGAACCCAGAAAATAACTTGCGTGTTCGCTGATCTTTAATTGAAGCGCTAACCGAATTCGAATTTATTTTTGATTTCATTGGTTTATTTAATGGCGTGCATTAGGACCTAAAACTAGAACTACCCACATACTTAACTATTTGCGAACAGTAATCTAACCTAGGTCTACCTCTACCCCTCCTAACTCCTGCTTCTGCCTCTAATATGTTCCTGACTAGACCTTCATGCCTGAGAAGGTTTTTTATTGACTTCCATAGAGTCCTCTGTACTTCTATTCTTTCTAATATCTCTTCATTTGTAACCTTCTCTATCCACAGTATCGTCATCATTCGCTTGTAACACCACATTTCGAACGCTTCTAACGTTTTCTTTTCGGCCGCGCCCACTGTCCATGTTTCGCACCCGTACACCTCCGCGCTCCAAACACACCTTTAATAACCTTTTTCGAGTTTCAAAATTAACCGTTCGCGAGCATAGAAGTGACTCCTTTTTATTAAAGGCGACACGACCCTGCGCTATTCTCTGCTTTATATCCCTCCTACTCCTTCCGTCCTCACTTATCTGACTTCCTAGATATCTAAAATCAGCCATTTCTTCTAATTTTTCATCTCCTATCTTTATATTCGCTCTTAGTAGTTTAGTTTTACTTTTATTTATTTTCATACAGTACTGATCTGTTAGTACCGC